GAATCAATTTTAGAGAAAACAGATGACACATTGCTTAATTTTCAGCCAAAAATGACTAAAATTTGTATGCATGTGGAAGTTGATTCTAAAAGAATAAAACGTCAGTTGCAAAATGGACCAAACGTACTTAGTGGGGTGGGGAGCTAAGATGCACTAAGTAAATAGCTGGAGAAGATTTGATGCCTAACATAATCAGGACAAAAAGGCAGAATATATTAAACAGTTTTTTTGTCTAGTCTTAAATGCTAACTGAATTATTTACGATTGAGCTACTAGGCCAGATGACTGAATATCGTGGTGTTCCGTATTTCAAATTGGATGCTTATGTTTAAACTACAAGAAACCCTTCACCTAAATTTCATCCTCTCAGCAAGATGTATTTGCAGTCAGTCACAAGAGGACTGAATTCGCAGTAACTGCCTTAACCATCACAGAAATTACCACTCAGCTATTTTAACTAGGACATACATCCTGTTAAAATGAACCGATGTGTTGTACATACATCCCTGGCCAAAAAAATGTCAACAAGCAAAGAACCAGGATCCAGGGCTAATTAATACATGTTTCCATCCATTCGATATCACACAACCATTAAATGTAATTTATTCTCTTCATCTTATAGCTTAAAAGTACATCCAATGTCTAACCACCTGAAAAACGCTTTTTTCGCCCATTCCTACTGAAGATGAGTAGTCTAATATTAAGCCATTTCACCTAGTAATCTCTGCTCAAACTTACCACTTAACAATTTGATACTTCATATATTTCATTTTAACAGCATACCATCCGGTGAAGCACAGTTATCAAACTTTTATAATTAATTATAAGAATGAAATTTAGAATTATTTTTCACATCCTCCAGATAGTTCTGAGTTTCATTTATTGAATTTAGATCAAATGAGGATTCACTGCCTTACTTGTTGTTTTTTCAGTCAGAATAACAATAATCCAATACCGTCACCCCGGTGATAAGATAAACAAAAGCATGGAGAAAAAATGAAAAGATATCTGTTATTGTCAACTTCAGTGTTACTTTCAAGTTAAATAAAGTCTCTAGTAAAGAAGGATTTTGTGTTGTTTTACTTAAAGTAATAATTAACTTCTTAATTTACTTTTCTCACAGAAATATAGTAGAATCCACCATAATGATTTCCTTTACAGTCGATGGACAATAAATATTCCTTTCGAGAACAACTTTTATGTAATGACTGCATTTTACATTTACGAATGAATTAAGCAGGAGTGGAGACAATCACTGGACATAACTTCCAATCTTAATGACATTCGTTTTGCTGCTAAATAATTTCGGATTTTTTGAGGGGAACTCAACAAATTATGTTGCTTGTGTAAATAGTACAGTCCCCTGGGTGCGCATATACATGGAGAAGGCGAATTACTAATAAAGGTCCACTGAGTGGCAAATCTCTTGACACAAAGCAGCAGTAGAATTGAAACGACCAGGTGTATTGTTGACTTAGAACTTATAGTTCTCTTGAAACACTTTTGTGTAGATATATTCACCAGATAACCACAGTGGTAGAGATCTTACATTTAAGGTTCAGTTCAGTAAATGCAGTGTACCTTTACTTTCTGGAGACTGAAAACATGAAGTCTTCAGTCTCTGTGTAGTCAGATGTCGAGAGGGACACTACCACAAGAACGTCTATTATAAAACCGAATAAGAATGGAGAGATTGGAGATCCTTGACGGAGACCACTCGAAGTACACCATTCACTCGATATCTTACCACAAGCTTTAGCATGACCACATGTGTTCCAGTAAGGAGCCTTCAATAGAGTGGTGTACTTATTCGGTACCCCTTTCAGTGAGAGACATGTCATTAGACTTCTCAATCGACGGAGTCGAATGCCACCTTCAGGTCGAGAAATACAGCTGTTGTTGGACGTCGGTAAGCATGCCAGTGGTCCTTAACATGGTGGAGTGTGGATATTCGGTCGATACACCCATGGCCATGCCTGAAGCCTGCCTGATTTTCTCGGGCTTGCTGTTCCCAAGCTTCACTAAGGGGTCTAATGGTTATAGGACCTAGAATCTTAGACACTATGTTCGTATGTAGTTTACATAAGAGGACTTCTCGCCTTTCTTGAAGACTGGGATAGTCAGTGATTTGGACCAGTCAGAGTGGATCGTGTTTAACTCCTATACACTAGTTTATGCCTCAGTTAACTTGACTAAAAACACCGTCCTTATATACATCAGGAACTAGTCCGTCCTGCTGCCCTTTCTTGCTTCAAGTTACAACCGCTTTTCCAACTTCTGCGAGTGTTGGAGGGCCTATTTCAATGTACCATTCAGGATTCGACTGGATAGCAAGCAACCCAGTAGTAGCTGAAGGCCAGTTGAACTGTTCCCCAGTGTTCTACCCATCGTTCCAGTCGTCTCTCCTGAGAGTGAATAGCAGACCGATTCTTCTCCGCTATAGTTTCACTAAACATTGATCTTTTTGACCCAATTTTCTCAATAAGTCTAAATAACTGTCTACTGTTACCTATCGTCACTGCCTTTTCCATCTCTTTAGCCTTCGCTATCCACCACTGTTCGCCGTCATTGCAAAAACTTTTTGCCAGTCTACATTTGAGTTGCGTTCGATCCCCATTGTACTCAGAAACTGAAGGGATGCGTTCGCGTAAAATCCGTTAATTCAGAAGCTGCAGATATCCACTGGATCTTTTTAACCACTCTCTGAGAGTCAGCTACAGTCTTCAAAGCTGTTTTTACAGCAGACTAGAGATGACACGGAGCTCCTTCGGAATGATAGTGTTCTGTCCCGACAACTGTCTAGCCCGTTTCTCACTGAAAGCGGCCTCAGTGCTCTCACTGCCAAGCTGCATTCGTAATGGTCTAGTTACTAAAATGTTTCTAATTCCATTGAGACGCAGACATATATGTCCTCAAACCAACACGTGGTCGCGATGCAAACACGTGCTCCAGAAGGAACCGCAGTCTCCCACCGACCCCCTTAACCAGTGATTGATATCAATGTGGTCTCTCTGTGTCCATCTGTGGGTTGAGCTCGGTGGACGCCACACCAGACAGTGTCGTTCTTTATGTCTGAAGTTTGTACTAGCTAGAAATAAACGATTATCTGAGCACAGTTGTAATAGGTGATCACCGTTATCTATTCGCTCAGACGGGATTCCGGAAGTGCCGCCTAAGTTCCCCTCTGCTTGACTCACTCTACCCACTCGTGAATCGAAATCACCTGCAACAACAACCACGTCCGAAAGTTTGGCTTTCAGAAGGAGGCTAGACAGTTTTCGGTAATCATCCTTCACTTCATCAGAACTGCAGTCAGTGGTAGAGATTACAAACAAACAACAGCTACTTTCACAATTCCTTTCAATTTTCAGTGCCATTCAGCATACAGGTGACTGTCAACTTGGATCCAGTCTAGTAGTGAGCTTTCCGGCCTAGTCCTCAATGGTATGCATACACCTCCAAGACCGCGAGAACTAGCCATCGAATCTCCAGAAACTTGAAGAGTGAATTTTGCGGATTCACCCTATTGGCTGGGAAAGGGTAAGCTAATAAACGTACTTGGATCCTGTATGCGTGTCTCACAAACACAGAACACATCCTTGACCCGAGTTTCTAGAGCTTGGCCAATGAAGCTTGTTGCCTAGTGTAATGGAGGGTGCGAACATTGAAGGCTCCAATGTGTAATTTGGAGAGTGGTTTAAGAAGACCAAGGATGCTGTTCTGTGGACTCAGATCGTTGTCAAAACCTGTAGAGCTAGAAGAGACTTAAGATGACAATGAAATTAAGTGATAGACCTGATGGAAGATCGGAAGGTAAGGATGAGGGAAGTGGGTACTGGTCTGAGGGAACTTGGGAGCTGACAGAGTTGTGAGGGCAGTTGACACTTCCCGTACCATAGGAAGCTAGGTCTTCTTAAGGTACCTGAGAAAGACCTGTGTGACTGCAAAGCCCATAGACCATCCGCTTGAGGCCTATCACACAGCCTTTTGTGGATTGTTGTTCTAACGCCGGACAGAGGATCCATACTGCCTGCACCGGGAAACCATGGGGCACGAAAAGTGTTATTTTTGGTGCTAATCACACACACACACACCAATATCCTGTTGAGAAGACAGCATCAGTGTAGCACTGCTGGTCATCCAAGGGAAATATCTTACTGCTGTCACACCCCATACAGCTAGCAGTAGTACGACTTAGCCCTAGGACCTCAATCATAGTGCAATAATTTACACCACCGTGGTAACTGCTTTTCATCTTGCCACTATCCAACAGACCTGCCTGGCAAGGTAGGACCTCAAAGGAACAAGAGCTCCAACAGTATAGCTCGTTGGGTCATTGCGAAGACCACGTCGAGGTAGCAGCTATCAGTCGGAAAAAGGATGTCCGGACTTCTGTCAGAAATAAATAAACTATTTTTTGATCTACTAATTAGTACAAATTGAGTAGGAAATCTAAAAGCCTACAGTGATTAGATCATCAATACCTAACAATCATATAGGTGAAGTGAAGCCTCTGGGAAAGTACGATTACTTTCCAGGTGAGATGATATTTGTTCAACGTCATTTGGTTGATGGTTATTACTGTCATTCTACATCTATATCGTTACTAGACGAGACATTTCGTACCGTTTTTAGTTCATATTGAGACTAAGAATCAAAAGGTGTAACACGGCAAGGTCGGATGGTGAAACCAATCATATTACTTATTTTCTGATGTCGTGAGACGTTCAACTTCAAGCGACCATGCAACTAACACGTATAGTGTCATTCAAGGTAAAAAATTATTTTGACACTGGTTCGTTTGGCAGTCAAAACTATGAAGTGGCCAATTACAAATAAAAAAGCCATCCAGCTTCTCAAAACTATCGAACTATATCACCCAGCATAATAAAAATCTATAAAAATGTAAGACTTTATTATGAAGAATTAATAAGTACGGAGTAAAAGCCGGAAAACCGCCTCATCACGCTCTAGAATAATCTGTGTAGATTTTAGTTTAACTAAGTTTTCGATAACTTAGAACTGCTTATACCAGCAGACAAACGATCCAGGAAATCTGACGTTGTGATTTGAGTTAGTATTCTCTCCTCTTCAAATCCTGATTTTGAACCTTGCAATTGTTTTCCTATGTTGATCTGATGCTGCTTGACAGCATTGAAAAGTGCTACTGCACCTCTTGTAGCCTGACAACGCAAACGCTTTTCACGAGCAAACTCTGACAAGTATTCGGAAGACGTAGTATCTCGAGCAGGTTTAGTGTTGGAGAAGTTCCTTTGAACACCAGCAAATGCGATCGGAACCATATACGCCTATCGATTAAATTAATTATTTTAGAAAAGCTAGATTACCTGTCTCAGCCAAATACGACGTCTTTTCTTGTCGATACTAGCTGAAGAAATGTCATCAGTATCCTCCTCGAGTTCCTGTTTACGCTTTTTTGCCTCAGCACGTTCCTGGTCGGTTTTCGCAAGACATAAAATCGGATGGGAACCCTGAGGTATATTCTCTTCGAGTAACTGCAATAATATGTCACGAATAACCTTGAAACCCATCCTTGTAACGCAAACTTCGTAACAGCTGCACTACAATGTCCAACAATTTTCTAATATATCTTTTTAACGAGCTTGTGTTAACCAGTTGATTTCTTCGCAATCGCTTCTTGGTCTTGCCGAACGGCTCCAGATCTTTGGCAGACTCCTGCGCAGTAGATCCAGCCACTCATCTGCTTTAGCTCTGATTTACAGAACAGGAAGTTAAGTGTTGGTTTGTTTGCCTTGGACTGTGGTGCAGTTGGCTTCTTCAGATGTCGATTTGCCAGACAGTTGTTAGGACTGGTGGCTAGAGAGGGTTGGGGATAGTGAAGACAAAACCTAGAAAGTGTTTGTGTGAGTAAAATAAGAGAGGGAAAGTGAACTAATAGAGTAATCTACCTACACCCAAGTAAGGTGAGTAGGGGTGCAAAGGTATGAAGAACTTAGATAAATGAGGCTAACTTATGGCAAGTAGAAGGGGTGGAAAGGGCTTAAATGGTTACAGTAGAAAAAACTGGTTGGGGTGACTTGACATCGCTTTGTGTTCCAGCCATGCGTGGGTAGATCGTGAGTCTCTACGTGACTGTCTAGCCTCTTCTTGAAGCTTTCAACAGTTGGGGCGGAGACCACCTCTGCTGGTAGTGCGTTCCAGTACCCACAGACTCGGAGGGAGAAGAACTGTGAACGCACATGCGTTTTTGACCTCTGGCGTGCTATTCTATTGGGGTTTCCTCGAGGACCTCTATAGTGGCCACTCGGTAGAATTCCTCTGTTTGGGTGACTTCGGTTACTCATTATTTTGTTAGCCATTGTTAGGTCGCCACCTATCCTTCGACAACTAAAGGAGTGTAGACCTGGGCCTTTCAGTCTATCCTCATATGGTTTTCTTTGCATTCCAACAACCCCTTCTGTGGCTCGCCTCCGGACTATCTCCAGTAAGTTCGTGCCTCTTTTCAGCTGTGGTGGAGTGAAGACATTATGGACCCCTAAGTGGGGCCGTATATAAGTCTTGTAGAGCTTCAGAAAGAGTTCTGGGGTGGGGGCAACCGGTCGTCCACGCACAAAGTGTAGTACCCTACATACTTTTAAGACATCACCTGGGTAACTGGAACTGGCTTCCAGTTTCTCTGTCACCGTTAGACCCAGGTCTTTTTCCACCATGGTATGGGATAGATGTGAACCACAGGGATAGTGGGATGTTTTCCGTGGACCAGGAGTACGGAAAAACATGGATCGGCGCCTATCCAGATTAAATGCCAGTTTGTTATTAGTTCCCCATTCCTCCAGTGTTCTGAGGTCCTTCTGTAATGCCATAGATTCCGCCTCGCAAGTTATTGCCCTCCATAACTTGACATCATCAGCGTATCGAAGAATCGGTGAGCTGATATGTTGCTGCAGGTCATTTACGAACAGTAGGAACGACAGTGGGCCCAAGATTGCTCCCTGTGAGACACCGGATGAGGATGTTCTCCAAGTTGAGTAGACCCTGTTGACTTTCGTGCAGAACTCCCTGTTGTCTAAGTAGTTCTGCAGCCACGATAGCACCTGGCTGCGAATACCTAACCCAGCTATCTCGTGTATTAGGATATGGTGTGAGACAGTGTCAAAGGCCTCGGCGAAGTCCAGAAAGATTACGTGGGCCGGGACCTTGAGATCCCAGCATGCTGTCCAGTGATCATGGGCAGTCGGGAGGTTGGAGGCACAGGACCCACCCTTCCGGGAGCCATGTTGAGCGTCACTGAGTGCTTGTCTTTTGTCCAAATACTCCTTTGATACTGTCGTCCATCACACTTTCTATTGCTTTTGATACTACTGGTAGAAGTGCTATGGGTCTATAACAGTTGGGATTCTGTATGTCTCCTCCTTTGAGTTCTTCACTTTGTTAGGTTTAGTTTCCGGACAACCACGCGAGTTGCTGCGATGCGCTAAGATGCGTTTCTGTGAAGTGCTACGTGAACTAGGACTTCGAGATCGTAGCAACTATTTAACAGAGTTGCACAGCTCGGTCACCTCTGAATCCTGACTCTCCGGTTTGTCGCAGGCGGAATTCATGTTGGGGAGGGGTCTTTTAGAGATCTTTAATGTTTTATCTGCTGAGGCTGCCAGGTCATCGAGTAGAACTGGCTGAAGTGTCACTAATAGGGTTCGCACCGGTTGTGGTAGTTTCGAGAAAAACAACTCCAGGAAAAGGCCGTTGTCGAACGTTCATGTGCCCATGACTTTTCGCACGATTGCGAGGACTTCAGTGGCTGAGTGGCTGCCTGGCTTGATTTCACGAATTAATCCCTCTAGGTGCTGGCAATATGTGAAATCGCTATTCTTCAACAGTGCAGCCTTGAGAAGTGCATACGGATCACTCACTTCGGGACTGAACATGTGTGCCGTAACATGTCTATTTAATTCCCGCAGTAGTGACCGTATGACAGCAAGAAATCAAGAATGAGGATCTGAGACGCCCTGTTCTCCAAAATCTGCCTCGGCATACAGAAATCATGTTTCCGCATTGTCTGGCCAATATGGCACGAGTTGGATAGTGTTCGTAGTCGGCTTAATACTAATAAGCTTGGGAGTATGGTCGGACATGAGAAAGGTTTGTAAGTGGATACATAATGGTTACCAAAATGAAAGCAATATACAAATGGAACAGGCTCACCAACTCAATATTTGTCATTGGTCGGGATATTTGATCACATCAGGCTCACCAATTTAGGAATTACCCCGGCGCGAACTTGATAGACTCAAAGACCAATCACCAATTATTTGGACTTGTTATATACCCACGAATACGAGACCAGGGAAGAACAGAATAGCGTGGTCGGATGGAATAGTATATTTGCGTGGTTGTGCCAAGATACCGGTGCGTTCCAGCTAACTGGCTAGAGAGTCGAATACGAGCAGTGCAACGTAACACGACAGCCTGCCAAATGGGGAGGATGCTTGCCTGAGTCCAGCTAAACTATAAAGATCAGCATAAATGTTGAATGTTGTCGAACCCCAGGTTTTTGATTTTGGGGGAGTTTGTGACGCTACATTACTAATTAGCAAACTATGCGGGTGGGCTAACAACGTTGGTTGGTCATAACGCGAACTTCGAACACTGCGCGCTTTTGACATTGATGGTGGAACCTGTCTGTGTGATGGGAAATGAAAAACCGTGCCCATCTCATGAATTTCAGCAAATTTTTATGAGATTATGTACGCTAGTGACCTTATATGTGAAGTATTTAATACTATATACCAGTTGGTAAACTTTCGAAAATTATCAATTCGACGGTGCTTGTAAACTGGTATCCCTCATGTTAAACCCTTTATATGAGGATGATATTTATTATTATCTAAACTTTAACACTGTAAACGCTGCAAAGTAATATTTCCATGGTTGTCTCCTAACTAGCAGAATCTCCGGCTGTTTTTGACTGAGTTTAATTACATTCCGCCTGCACCACTCAGGACTGGTAGCCTTGCAGATATTTTGCGATATATCAACGTGATGAAGCCTGTGAACTGGCTTCTCTCATGTTAAACCTTTATAATATGAGAGTAAAACGTTTATTTACTTATTTGTTTATCTTGATGCTGAAGAACATAATCCTCTAGACGATTAATGATAACACTCTTTCCATTCCAAGAAGAACCGACAAATTCCACTCCTCCTGGCTTAAGTCAAGCACGCGCAAACCAAAACGGCGTGGATGGCCATCTTGGAATCTATGGAGGTGCACTAATAGCGATTTTGACTGGCTAAATTATAAAGGCATCCGTAACAGATGTACGATAAGTGTCGGAAATGACAGATTAAACCGCCAGACACAACCCTGGAGGGGAATCATTGCGTACTGTACTTGCTGATGAAACAGAGGAGTTACAGTTCACTTAGTTTACAGGACCCCATTACTTTAGCGATTCTCCACTTTGATTCCGAAGTGGCAAACCTACTTTCTCACGAATTCCGAATCAACTCCTGCCATTTGGCAGGCAATACCATGCATCTGTCGGGCACCGGTATTGCAGAGGGGCTAAACCATGTAGAGTTTGAACCCCCATAATTATGGAAATATTAAAGAGACTGAACCCGAATAGGTCTCTAGGAATTGGTGGGATTCACCCAAGGGTACTCAAAGAATGCGCTGAAGTTCTGTGCGCCCCTCTTCAAATGCTCGCTTCTGGAAGGCAGGCTACCCTCAGTTTGAAATCGGGTGACTGCCCTCCCAATTTACAAAGGGGGAAACAAGCTGCTTGCTTACAGCTGCAGACCGATCCCCCTGATCTCTTTAGTAGCGAAGGTCGTAGAGAGAGTCATAAATGACTCACTTCATGATCACTTCAGGAATCAATCCTAAACGAGTGTCAGCAGGGCCTTCTTCCAGGAGGGCCATGTGACACCAACTTGTTGATAGCTTGGAATAGCTGGACACCCTCTGTCGAGCAGAAAAAGCCTACTCACTGGTTCACTTGACTTCTCTAAGGCCTTTAACAGAATTAATCATGATATCCTTCGTAAGAAACATCAGCCCATGGGTGTACAGGGAAAATTATTAATTTGGCTCAGAGATTATCTGTACACCAGGGTGCAGTCAGAGTCAGCTCCTCTCTTTCTAGTTGATTCTCGATGCTGAGTGGTGTGCTTCAAGGTTCCATACTGGGCCCACTACTGTTTCTTGCCTTTATCAATGACCTACCAGGGGCCCTTAATTCACATTCACTATCATATGCCGATGATCTGAAAGTTTGGAGGGAAATACAGAGGCCAACGGATATTTTGGTCTTGCAGGAGGACCTTACGAAAATCCTTAATTGGACCACAGAAAACCTGCTTCCTCTCAACTCGAAGAAGTGTCAAATTATGATAGTTGACAAACAGAAGGGCAGTCCCGGCTCTTACTCTCTGGGTGAAATAAATAAATAAATAGATAAATGTTTTATTCTCGTGTTAAAAAAGGATTTTAACATGAGAGAAGCCAGTTTACAGGCTTCATCACGTTGATACATCTCAAAATGTCTACAAGATTTGAGCCCTGAGT